CTTCCTTCCTTCCTTCCTTCCTTCCTTCCTTCCTTCTTCCTTTCTTTCTTTTGTTATTTATTTATTTCCTATATGATATTCTTTCTTTCTTCTTCTTTTCATCTTGTGTGCTTACGTTTAAACAGGTGGAACTTTAAGGCAGGAGTCTATTTCCCTTTCTTTATTTCTAAAGTACCAAGTGTACAAGTATATGAGCCGTGGTGGCGCAGTGGTTGAAATACAATACTGCAGCTTTACTATTAAAAGCTGTACAACAAATGGTTTATAACACAAGGAAGAGGATCAATCAGTAGCTTACAAACAATACAGCCATCTCTCAGGCTCCATACAGGTAATCCTCGACTTACAACCATTCTTTTAGTGGCAGTTCAAAGTTACAACAGCACCGGATACAGTGACTTATGACCAGTTTCACACTTAGGACCATTGCAGCATCCCCATGGTCACATGATCAAAATTCAGACACTAAGCAACCAGCACGTATGTACGTGCACTGTCCTGGGGTCACCACTTGCAACCTTCCCAGCCAGCCTCCAACAAACCGTTCATTGGGAAGCTGGATTTGCTTAATAACCATGTGATTCACTTAAAAACAACAGTGATTCGTTTAACAGCTATGACAAAAAGAAAAAGGTTGTGAAATGTGGCAAAACTCACTTAACTGCTTTGGGCTCAATTATTTCCACAGGATGTGTGTGCCATTATGCCACAAGGCAAAGTCTGTGACCAACATCATTAAGCCACGTCAGAGTGAACAGATAGTAGTGTAGAAGATGGCGAATCAAAACATCCCTATGTCCATATTATCATTTTTCATCTTTGCAGTTAGCTCCCCTTGAAACTCAAAAGTTGCTTGATTCTGAGATATTACGAATAGTCTTTTGAGTGCCAAAATTAATTGAGACTTATTACAGTTGTAAGTTCTGTAGGTCATGAAGTGGATCCTCATGGTCGTTAAGCAAAGACACAGTCACTGAGTTAACACCACTGTTGTTAAGCAAACCCATTGTCTGCAATAGGCAGGATTTGCCAAAAAAACAGAAATAAATGCTGATTTCCAGCAACAACAAAAAAATATAAATTGTGTTATGTGACAGTGGGACACTACAAACAATCTTAAATGTGAGCTGGTTACCAAGCATTCAAAATACGATCCTGTGATCACAGGAGGTTGTGGCCCTCAGAACTTCAAATCTGGGTCCTAAGTACTTTTTGAGGGTCTGTCATAACTTCAAATGGTTGCTAAACGGTTGTCAGTTAAGGACTATCTACAGTTCACCTGTCTAAGGCCTCTCCAGGGCTCCTGGTTGAATTCTTTCAGTACCTTTCCTAAACACCCTTTGTTTATAAAAGCGATTCAGGCAATCCATATTCATAGCAATAGCAATAGCAGTTAGACTTATATACCGCTTCATAGGGCTTTCAGCCCTCTCTAAGCGGTTTACAGAGTCAGCATATNCCCCATGGTCACATGATCAAAATTCAGACACTAAGCAACCAGCACGTATGTACGTGCACTGTCCTGGGGTCACCATTTGCAACCTTCCCAGCCAGCCTACAACAAACCGTTCATTGGGAAGCTGGATTTACTTAATGACCATGTGATTCACTTAAAAACAACAGTGATTCGTTTAACAGCTATGACAAAAAAAGGTTGTGAAATGTGGCAAAACTCACTTAACTGCTTTGGGCTCAATTATTTCCACAGGATGTGTTTGCCATTATGTCACAAGGCAAAGTCTGTGACCAACATCATTAAGCCAACATCAGAGTGAACAGATAGTAGTGTAGAAGATGGCAAATCAAAACATCCCTATGTCCATATTATCATTTTTCATCTTTGCAGTTAGCTCCCCTTGAAACTCAAAAGTTGCTTGATTCTGAGATATTACAAATAGTCTTTTGAGTGCCAAACTTAATTGAGACTTATTACAGTTGTAAGTTCTGTAGGTCATGTAGTGGATCCTCATGGTTGTTAAGCAAAGACAGTCACTGAGTGAACACCGCTGTTGTTAAGCAAACCCATTGTCTGCAATAGGCAGGATTTGCAAAAAAAACCAGAAATAAATGCTGATTTCCAGCAACAACAAAAAATATAAATTGTGTTATGTGACAGTGGGACATTACAAACAATCGTAAATGTGAGCTGGTTACCAAGCACTCAAAATACGATTGTGTGACCACAGGAGGGCGTGGCCCTCAGAACTTCAAATCTGGGTCCTAAGTACTTTTTGGGAGTCTGTCATAACTTCAAATGGTTGCTAAACGGTTGTCAGTTAAGGATTATCTATAGTTCACCTGTCTAAGGCCTCTCCAGGGTTCCTGGTTGAATTCTTTCAGTGCCTTTCCTAGACATCCTTTGTTTATAAAAGCGATTCAGCCAATCTATATTCATCTCCCTTTTTCCATCAATTTCACCCACTGTTCCTCAACCTGGATACTCTTCTGGAGGATTGGAAAGAATACGAATAGATGTACTTTCAATGCTCAAATGATTGTGATTGGTATTAGAAGTGTAGAATTCCCCAGCTGAAGATGGGAAATAGAAAAGAAATGTCTTTGAATATTACAGCAGCATGGGGTGGGGGTGGGGAGATTGATGGAGAGATAGAAATAAGAGNATATAAAAATATTGGGTTATATATAATAGAGATTAGAGGTTATATTCAGCCAGTTCACACTGGTTCGTGTGAATCGGTGGTGGCCATTTCCCCGAGGTCGGACAACTGTTAGCAATGGCCAGCTAGCCATGCCCATGAACTGGACCCCTGGCCTGTCCCCACTCACCCCGCCCACCTGCCCGACGCTCGCTCACCCCATCGGCCCAACACTCACTCATTCGCTTAACGCTCACCTCACCCATCTGAGCCCTATATATGCCTTTGCCATGCAGCCCAGCCCCCAGATACACACCTTGCCACTCACGTCTGCACCTTGCCTACTCTGATCAGCTCACCAAAAGTAAGTAAGCATCGCTCGCCCTGGGTGGGAGGCTGGGGCCTCAAGGACATGCCATTCCCTGAGACCCCAGAGCCACTTCTCTCTCGCTGCCCACCTCGGCTGGGTCGATGAATGCGCCATTCCCCAGCTCCGGATTTTCCCCAGAGCCACCACTCTCTCACTGCCCCACCCTCTCTACAGCCCCAGTCCTAGCCCTGCTTCCTCCCCCTCACCCATTGCCTCTTTCAGCAGCTTACCTTCCACACCAGCTGGTCCAGAGTCTGGAAGCCAAACTGAAACTCCCAGCCAGCCACCGCTGCTGAGAAGCAGCTGGCTGGCAAAGAAGCCTCCCAACCACTGCGTCTTTGAGAGCTGGCAGCTGGGGGGTTTCTTTGCCAGCCAGCCACTTCCCACAGGCTGCTAAAAAAATCCTCCAGTTGGCGAAAAAGCTGCTGCCATCACTGCCATGTTCCACATGTGCAAAGAACATGGCGGCGATGGCAGCAGCTTTTTTATTGACCTCTGACATCACTTGCCCTCCCTGTGCAGAAAGCAGTTATAGACCCAGAAGGCAAAGGAGGAAACCTCTAATCAAATGTTTAAGGGGGCTTCTCTTAAACGAATTATAGACCTGAACTGATATTGTGATAAACTTTCAGCAATTAGAAATCAAATGCCAGTCTTATTATTTAAGGAACATGTAATGATGTTCGTCCTTAATTACTTAAAAGGAAGGTGTTGGAAAAATCTCTTCAGAGTCCCAGAAAAGGCAAAAAACAGAATTAACGTAATAAAAAACAACAATAGAGACGCTGTCTCGAACTGTGGCCCTTGGTTGGCCTTCATACTATCCCGGCTCAGTTCCCACCTAGATCTGTCTTTGTAGATGTTGGACCCATCACCAAGACCCAAAGTGTGGACGAATTGGAATCTGCAATCTCTCGCCTGACTGCTACTGGGGGTGGCGACTGCCCAGAAATGTCCATGTCTGGCTTGAAACTGGCTTTGCAACAGAGCATGCCAAGGTGAGAAATGTCCAGGTTGAGGCCTGTATTCTCCTTCTGCCATTATTTCTCAATACTTTACAGGTACTTCGGATTACAGGCAGTTCTGTATATTCCATCCTGCTAGGGACTTACTGTACCTCTTGACAGGGNTTATATAGCTATAGATTAGATAGATAGATAGATAGATAGATATAGGTTAAATAGATAGATAGATAGATAGATAGATAGATAGATAGATAGATAGATATAGGTTAGATAGATAGATAGATAGATAGATAGATAGATAGATATAGATTAGAGAGACAGACAGACAGACAGACAGACAGACAGACAGACAATATATATTATATATATTTTAAAAATCCTTTTTCACCCTTACGGATGGTATGTGTCTTCCTCGATTTATATATATCTTCATGCAGACACGCACGCACACGCACACACAAACGCTGGCTGGACATATTAAAAACAACCGAAGCCAAGCGGGTCCAAACTGCAGAAGAGGCGGCCCGGAGCAAAGCACCTTTTCCCTTGCCGCTCCGGCCGGGGCGCCGCAGGTGAGTTCCCGAAAAGACCAAAAGTTTCGCTCGGGGAATCGGCGGCGGCTGCTCGGCGGCGCCTGGCTCCTTTTGACAGCCCCCCCCCCATTAAGGGGTGCGGAGGAAATGCGGGGAGGGCGAAAGGGGAGCAGAGCCTTATCGCCCTGGATCGCCGGAGGGATTAAAAGGGGGAGGAGCTCCCCGTTCAGGGCCGGGAGGGGGGAGGGGGGGTGATGGAGGCATGCCTCCCTCCGCTATAAAAGCCCAGGTGCGCCAACGCGAGGGCTCCACGCGGGGTCTTTGCAGCCCATCCGCCGGAGGAGCCATGGATGGTCTTCCCTGCTTGGCTTTCCTCCTTCTGGGCTATTCCGCCTTTGCAGCCGCAGCCTCGGAAGGTGAGTCTTCTTCCTGCGTGGATTTTCCGAGATGCTGCATTTATTTCTTTTGCAAAGAATATTTTTCCCCTCCCTCTTGCAAAATCCTGCTTTTCGGAAGCGCCCTTGGAAGTCGGCAGAAAGCTGGGTGACTAAGCCCACTGGAGACAGGAGGGGGTTAGGGGGGGCAGTGTTTATTTTCAGGGGGGTTTACGCAGATTCGGACTGAGCTGGGCTGGTGGTGTGTGGGTTTCTCCTGCGTGGGGCTGCGTCGTCCTGGGACGTTTGCTCCCGAGCTTCGCGTGGGATCTTGGACTCCGCGTTGCCAAGAGGTCCCGCGATTTCCAGTTTGATTCCTCTCCAGCTGCCGCTGTAATAATCCGTCACCTCGATTCTCCGCAGTAGCTGTAACCGCGCAATGCTGTCATGATGCGCCTTGCATCAGATTTCTCCCTGGAGAGAAAGAAAAGAAAGAGAAGGAGGGAGGAAGAGAGAATGAAAAAGAGAAAGAAAGAAAAAGAGAGAGAAAGAGGGAAAGAAAAAGAAAGAATGAGAGAGAGGGAAAGAATGAGAGAATGAAAGAAAAAGAAAAAGAGAGAAAGAGGAAAAGAAAAAGAGAAAGAAAGAGGGAGAAAAAGTGAAAAAATGAGAGAAAGAAACGGAGGGAGAGGAAGAGAGAAAGAAAGAGGGAGAGAGAGAAAGAAAAAGAAAAAGAGAGAAAGGGGAAAAAGAGAAAGAAAGAGGGAGAAAAAGTGAAAAAATGAGAGAAAGAAAGGGAGGGAGAGGAAGAGAGAAAGAAAGAGGGAGAGAGAGAAAGAAAAAGAAAAAGAGAGAAAGGGGAAAAAGAGAAAGAAAGAGGGAGAAAAAGTGAAAAAATGAGAGAAAGAAAGGGAGGGAGAGGAAGAGAGAAAGAAAGAGGGAGAGAGAGAAAGAAAAAGAAAAAGAGAGAGAAAGAAAGAGAGAGGAAGAGAAAGAAAAAGAAAAAGAGAGAAAGAGGGAAAGTAAAAGAGAGAAAGAAAGAGAAAAAGAGAAAAAGAAAAAGGAGAGAGAGAGAGGAAGGGAGAGAGAGAGAAAAAGAAAGAAAGAAAAAGAAAGAGAGAAAGAGGGAAAGAAAAAGAAAGAGAGAAAGAAAGAGAAAAAGAGAAAAAGGAGAGAGAGAGAGAGAAAGAGGGAGAGAGAGAAAGGGAGAAAGAAAGAGGGAGTGGGCGGGAGGGAGGAGAGAGAGAGACTGAGACTTTGCTAAAAGCTCTCCTTGATATTTTTTTCCAAGTATTTCCCCAAAAATTTCTGGATTTTTTTTAAAAAAACCAATCAATCTCAATCGAAATAGAGCTTAAAGGGACCTTGGAGATCTTCTAGTCCAGGAGACTATACTATTTCAGATAAGTGACTGTCCAGTCTCTTCTTAAAAACCTCCAGTGATGGAAAGCTCACAGCTTCTGGTGGCACACTCTTCCATTGGTTAATTGTCCTCACTGTTAGGAAGTTTCTCCTCACTTCCTAGTTGCTTCTCTCTTTGATGAGTTTCCATCCATTGTTTCTTCTAGTGTTTTGGAGAATAAATTGACCCCCCCCCTTCTTTGTGGCAGCCCCTCAAAATACTGGAATACTGCTATCATGTCCCCCTACTGACATGATAGCAGTAGTGATATACCGATTGATATAAACATCAACTGATACCTAAACTATCATTTTAGCAAGAAAGATGGTGTGAGGGAGACTTCTTTCTCGTTACATGCAAAAACTCCCCAGTTCAGGGACAGGTTGAAAAACATGCAAAAAAAGCAAATGTCTATGGAGATCCTCAGCCATCCAGACTCATGGTTGTCCCAAAAGAAAGGTGCTTTTTTTTCAAGAGGCAACTGGACTTTCTGTTTTTTTCTTTGAAGACATTTCCCTTCCCCTCCAAGAAGCTTCTTCTGCTCTGACTGGATGGTGGGGAAGGATTTATACTCCTTGCAGACATTATTCTCGTTATTGTAAGAAATATAAATCCTTCCCTTCCCCACCATTTAGCGAAGGCAAAGGAAGAAAAAAATGATACCAAATTATATTTGGGTTTACGGAAATGCCATCCCAAGGAAACATAAACCGAGGTTTGAAAGAGACACCTACAACAATAGAAAAAGGGAGAGAGGAGGAGAGAATGAAAGGAAGGCAGGGGAAAGAGGAAAGAGATAACGAGAGGAGGATGGAAGGGAGAGGAAGAGAAGGAGAGAGGGGGGGAAGGGGAAGAGTAGGAGTAGGAGAAAGGGAAGGGAAGAAGGAAGGAGAAGGAGAGGAAGAAGGAAGGAG